TCAATTTCAACTTTCTAACATCCGTTAGTATTGGATGAATAGGAGAATGCGGTACACTTTTTTCAACCAAACACCAGTCACGAAAAAAAAAGATAAAAGGAATAAATAAACAAGCTGAATAATTAGCTATTAAGTTAACTTTTACATGTAGTTATGTAATATTGCACTTTGCTTAATCTTACAATAATTCATCAACAGCTGTATGCAATATGACCAAAGTGAAACCATTGAGGAATTTAGAGGGGTTTAGTGAATCAAGAGAGATGTGTTTAACTCATCCGCAAAGAGGTCCAACTAGCAGCGGCGGAATCAGGTTTTGAACTTTATGGATTCGAGTAATTCGGGATTCCACCACAGCTCATTGATTTAATTATTGGGTTTGAAATCTATTATTTGTCGTTATTTAGTGGTCCGAGCCAAAGTTATTGGGTTCATATGAACCCATACGAGACACACAGCATCTGCCCCAGCCAACTAGCATTACTTTTTTACAGTTATGATCAATAAAATGCACCAAAAAAAGGAATATCAAACTTAGGAAACTTTGTACAGTCAAAGAGATTAGGAAAAACATTTACGCCATCTGGCTGGATAGAGAGTTTGACTTGGGCATTAAATAAGTAGTAATAAAAGAAAATATGATCATAATAATAGGAAAGTTAATCTGATAGAAAAAATTTAAGTCAAATAGTCTAGAACATCCAAAATGGAAAAAGGTATCATACAATAAACAGTAAAGTGCATGTGGCACAGCAAGCAGTAAGAAAAATGAAAATTAGAAGTGCTAATTAGGAAAAACCTTGCGATAATTAGGAGCACCGTCGATATGAGGGGATAAGCGTCTGTTCTGGCAGCCAGGGAAATGGTCACTTTTGAGAATTGTCTTCTTTCCCAAAACGGATCCATCTCTCTGTTTCATCACTTGCTCTGGCTCCTTAGGTATCGACATGGATCGCATTTCACAAGCCCCTTTGACCAAATGCACAAAGCGTGATCACAAATTACACTGAAAAACGGACCAATTGGATACGAAACTAACAACTAGTCGTACATAAACAGCGGGCAGTTATGGGTACTAGTAGTAAATTTGGAGTTGAGAGTGAGGTTTGAATCAGCAGTGTTAAGCCCAGAAGAAAGAAGACGTAAACAGGCAGATCTTGTGGAGGAGGAAGAATTGGTGGACCTATAGAAAAACGTTTCGAGTTTGAACAAGTAATTCCAATTCCGACAACTTTATCCATCTTTTTTACTAGCGTCTCAACGACCTAACCAATAAGGGTTAGTTGAGTCCCATCCTCTACCTCAGTTTTACGCGCAATCTGACTGAATATTCCATTTTTGGTTCCTTGGTTTTTTGCCAATTTTCAATTTGGTCCCCAGCGTTTTATTTCTTTTATTTTAACATCAAAGGGGTTTTTCTATACTTTTATACTAACCGTGGGTATAAGTAAAATTCATATAAAAATATTAGAAATTTTTTAGAGATGCCCTGCATCTTTTTTATGAATTACCAGATGATTTTTTTCTCCTGGTCGAAGAAAAGGAAAATATTTTACTCTAAATTAAGCAGCATCTTGTAACTCATTACAAATATAGTTCGAGAAACCAATTAAAAAATTAAGTTATATTAATTTCTTTTAAAATATAGTATTTTTAAAGAATCTCAAATTCCGACTAGACTAAATGTTTGGAACATGTCGGGGTGCCATGACATAGTGTAGTGAGCCTAATCAAAGGATGCATTTGGGCTCAAGCTCAGTTCATTAATAATGAAACTACAATTGATTATGGTGATTAATTATATCATTTTATGTAGATGTTTAGTTGGTTAGATATATAATTGCAGATACTCATCTTAACTCCTCACTATCCCAAACTTCATTGAAGGATTCCTGCTCTGGCAGCGTGACAACTGTCCAATCATGTGATGCTTCTTCTAATTAGGCAAAAAATGAAGGGAATAGCCTACCCCATTTTAAATGAGCATAATTTTTGTGCTCCTATTAAATTTAGACTTGCAATAAAGTATTCCTATATGTTTTTATTACAATATTATCCATACTCTCAATTAATCTAGCCTTTCCAATTTTTATAAATAAATAAACAATTAGCCTTGATTAGGAAAGTAAGATCTATATTTTATGCCCTTTGAATTTCTTTGCTTACCTACAAAAGAATTATTAATTACTCGAGAATCTAAGTTCTTTTTTTTTTTTGTTGTTTTTGGAATTACGCGTTTGACCAGTAACCTCTAAGACGTAGATGTCATAACTATGTTTCCTTTTCATTCATAACTCAATAGGAGCATCTCCAAAAGCCTTTCGAGGAACTCTATTTAGCAAATTTCAAATAGATTGAATGCATAGATCGATAGTAATGATTTAACAGATAACAACTACATTAAATTCTTAACTATCGAGTAATATCGTTACTCGATATTATGAGTGTTTGGTATTTTGTGCATGATTTTTAATGAAATTTGCATGGATACATTATCCTTCTTCGTTTCCACAATGTTCACTAATTCCATCATACTTTAATATTTTACGTTTTATCAATCGCCTTTCAAACTTATTTATATAAAATCTAAGAGTACTTATTGCTTGTTCATTAAGCAAACTGTAAATAGAGGCGGATTCAGGATTGAAATTTAATGGGTTCAGCTTTGCATTGAGTTAATTATACCGTTAAAGTTATGGGTTCAAATCTAATCTTTATTGAGATTTTAATAGGTTTTTACATACATATATATACTTTGTGTCAAAAGTTATAGGTTTAGATGAACGTGTAGTCAAAAAGCTATATGCACCTCTAACCGTAAAATGACAAGTCATCGATCAATTGAGCTTATAGATTCAGATGAACCCGTAGCCTGAAAGACTATATCCACCTCTGACTGTAAAATGAAAAGTCATCGATAAAAGATAGCTCACGTAGGGATGTGTAATTTATGTTTGTTTATTCTTGCAAACTGAGTTCAACATCGACTGATGTGTACCGATTCTTTCAGTTCATTTGCCTATCGATTCTTTGATGGTTCATGCTCTCTTTTTGAGAAGGATGCTTCATGCTTTCTTGCATATCAACAATGGAAGATTCCTCGAGATGCATCATATGTATTCCTTGATTTTTATATATTTTGCAAAGAGCATAATAGGACTTTCCATTTAAGAAAAACAGTAAAAAAATATAAAAAGTGGTCAAGAATTCTCCAATGGAAGTATTAGTCAGTGATAACATGCTAAAACAGTTAGACAATTCCTGGAACAATGATCATTAGAATTTGGGCCAAATACAAAATTGGCATGTCAATCAAGTATCAAACTAACCGTATTCACTAGCCAAAGTGTACAAAATATACATATTATATGTATATAATATATATACGTACAAAAAATATATATTTATCCGTTATTATTTTTAGTGTTGTTACGATTGCTTGCTACTTGTTGCTTTATCTCCATTGTTCCTTGAGCCGAGGGTCTATCGGAAACGGCCTCTCTATCTCTATAAGGTAGGCCTGTAGAGCTAAGGTCTGCGTACACACTACCCTCCCCAGACTCCATTTATGGGAATACATTGAGTTTGTTGTTGTAGTTAGTTATTATTTTTAGGAGCGGCTAAAAATATATATTTCTCTTAGAATTTCCCTTTTTATATACGAAAAAGGGTCAAATATCCTATACTATCAAAAATAGTTTAAATATATCTTCGTTATACTATTTGGTCATTTCGGACCCCACTGTTATACTATGGAACAAATATATCCTTATTTTAGACGGAATGTCACGTGGCTGCATCAGGTTAAATCGACCCATCCTGATTCACTTCGAAAAAACCATTGCCCGACCCAAAGTCCACCCCCATTGCTTCTCTAATCTCTCTCTCCTCTTTTCCTTTTCATTATTATAACCATGGCCGAAATTTTCATCGGCGAACTCGCCAGAAACGATGGAGAATCTTCAGATTTGTCACCTTGCATTTTCTCTTCCCCTTTCTCTATACCTACACATATATTTATACACAGATTTGGAGAAATATATACAAGAGGTCAATGATCTAAAAGTTTTGGGTCGGGATTTTACTAGATCTGACCATGAATATATTTTTCCGGCGAGTCATTATTTTATATTCTCATATTTTATTTTATTTTATTTATCACATCCAGAGACGAAAGAGAGAGTTAAAACTCCGACCATCCATTTTTTTACAGCTCTGGCGAACCTCCGACGACTTGTGACCCTACACTGCTGCCTCGTCCTTTGTTTCTTATGTTTGTCACTAATAAGTGAACTTGTATAATTAGGGGGAGATTTTTTTACTTGGTACACTGATCACCTTTATATATTTTTTTTTCCACTGAATAAAAAGGGCTCTTTTAGAATTGGGATGCGATGTTCATCCTCGTGAAGCTCTATTTCTTTGATTTTTCATTTAAGGGATCTTTCTGATTGTATTTTTTTGCGTGAAAGCTGAGGTATCAATCGATAAATGCTTAGCAAATTCTGATGCTCTAGGTTAAAGGCAGAAAAGTTCTTATGAATACTGCCATAAATCCCAAGCCCATAGATTTAGATGGTTGAAAAAGACATATTTAAAAGTAAACTAGTATGAATTCTACACCAATTTTGGTCTTTTGCGATGTGTTGCTTGAACTACATGACTGGACTTTTTATTTTGGGTCAGGTAATGGTTTTCTTGAAATGAATCGGGTTTAAAAAAATGGAATGGGTCGATTTAATCTGGTGCAGCCACGTAGCATTCCATCTAAAATAATATATATTTGTTCCATAGTATAACAGTTGGGTTTGAAATGACCAAATATACAAAAGGATATATTTAAACTATTTTTGATAGTACATATATATGACCCTCTTCCGTTTTACATAAGACTACTGGCACTCGTGAGTCGTGATCATCACGTTGGATTAAATCAATTTTGTCATCTCTTAATAATCATTTTTTATTTTGTATTAAAACTATTCATACAAAATGAAAAATGAAAAACAAAAGTAAACTGCCACTGCCAATTGCAAAGGATATTTTTGTCTTTAAGAGAATGTCATATTCTAGTTGTAGGGAAATCAATCTGCATAAAAAATGGATTGGTATTACCAAAAATCAAAATGGTGTTGGTAAAGTTGGAATAAGAGCTAATTCCACGTCAAACAAAGCTTATGCCTTCACAGACAGCAAAGGAAGCTGGATAACTGTACTTTCCACTGAGGAACGACTCCGTCATGTGGGAGAACCGTGTTCATGCACTATCTACGCATCACCCGATGACGGTCCCTTTTCCGAAAGCGTTCAAGCATGAATTGATCTGTTGCAGCTTGCCTTTTGACGCCTACATCTGAACTTGAATCAAGGGGTTTGGATTCTGGATTTCCAGTATCTTTAGTCTTATCCTTGTACAAATCAGGATGTTCTGTTAAAGACACATTTTGCATCATTAGTGATAAAGGAAACTATGAGGAATAAAAAACAAGCATTTATAAAGTTGCAAGCAATTCCAAGGCTAACCTTGGCCCAAAGGGAAAAATTAAACCCAATATACGAGCTTATAGTGCAAAGACCAGATACTCTTCAAATGATTTATTGGTCGATGGGTATCAAGATTTGAAAAGCTGACATAAATAGTGGGGAAGATGACAGAAAATATTAGATGTCCTCTTCTCCCCAGAAGCATGAGATTTGTAGGCTCTAACAACGGCATTGAGGTCAAATATGTCATCAACCCCAGTAGCATGAAGGTAAAATTCAACAGAAATGGGTATCATAGGGTGACGGTTGGTCTTGAATTAGATAAAATTGATGGTATTTGTGGTATCCTGTAACAGGGGCCAACATATGTTACGGCATGCAGTGGTTCTCATAGACTGGAACTCTGGAAGTCATGGAACTAGGACACGGAACAACAGTAAGGTTTTTACAATGAAGTCAGCTTATTCCTTACTCTCAGGAAACAGTCAGGTGGGCAACAACTGACCTTGGAAGCAGATCTGGAATCAAGGCTCCTTTCAAAATAGTTTGTTTTGTCTGGTTGATGGCTAGGTGGTGCTTGCTTAACCCAGGAAAACATAAAGAATAGAGGAGTTCAGATGAGTTCCAGGCGCTAATTATGCTATGCAGAGTCAGAGAATGATAGCCATCTTCCTTCTTTCTTTCTTTCTTTTTTTTTTTTTTTGTATTTTTGTATTTTGGAGTCCCTACACAACTGCGGCTACTATTTCTCGGCAAGGTTGGACTCAGGTGGACTACGCCAAAGTTCATAGTTGAGCTTTTGAGGTGCTGGCATATTCTGGGAGACAATGTAAGACAGAGGAATTGGTGGAACTTGATCCCAGCTTGCATTTGGTGGATAGTCTGGAAGAAAGGAATGATATGTGCTTTGAAGATAGATGCAGTTCCATTCAGAGGATAAAGATGAATTGTACACTGCTTTTTCACTTTTGGTGCAAAGAAAATTATGTAAATAATGATGAATCCATACTAGACATCATAGACATCATGATGATGTAAAGAAGAACAAGGACATGTTTTTGCACTCTAAAGGAATCTGTAAATTGGCCAAGAGCACAGCCTTTGTGCTGATGATTTGTACAACTGTTAAGGAAAAAATGCATGGAACTAGGAAGTGAAGATAACTGTGAATACAATTATTCTCCCAAATTATTCAAAGGTTGTCCAATCTAGGTTTGAAGTTTCATACAAAAGGAACTTTTATCATCAGACAACTCAGTAAGCTAGTCGGGAGAAGCAATCGCAACCTACCTCTCCGGAGTTTTTCAGCATAATCCTTGCCACGTTGGAAATAGTCTGCAGAGTAACTTGAGGGGATGCTAGATTCAGTTCTGGCTTTTCCCATTAGCCTCTTCTCCTGTAGGAGCTTTTTAGCAGCCTCTGTCTCCTCGATATTCTTCAATTTGTACCTTAGACCAGTAAATTGTGAAAACGAAACATCAAAAAATTAGCTACAGAGCTCAACTTCCGAATTTGGCTGGTCCGTTCCATGCTCAAATGTTTCAAAATGAATAGAGTGACATATGAGAGGTTTTTCACTGTTTAAAACAATATGCGAGAATATTTTCAAATTCATCTTGGGAAAACTTTTCTCCTAGCAAGCCTTTTTCAAAATAAAGGTTAATAGACATTTGATCAGTAACCAAAAACTGTATAAATAAAACCCATGTTTTTCACCATAAGAAAAACGTGCATACTCTATAGGGAGCTGTATTTCAGCTATTCCAGTAGTCCACTGGGTGGAGCTCTCCTCCGAATTCCTCCTTTTCACCTGAGAGGGGAAGAAAGGCCAGTTCATGAATACAGAATTAAATAACAAAAGAAGAGCGCCGGATAGAGCGGAAAAGCTATAGAGGATTCACAAAGCTGGTCCCAACTAATTTGGGGTTGCAGCAAATTTCGTTGATTGTTGATTGATTGAAGAGTGGCACAGAAAAACAGGAACTGCGGGGATAAACATGAGATTTAGCCTAATTCTAAACAATTTAACACTCTTGATATAAAATTCCTTAAAAGGAAATAAAATACCAAAATGTGACTGTGCTAAAACAACTGGAAAACTAACGATGAAAATTAACACTACAACAACAACAACAACAACAACAACAACCCAATGGGATCCCACAAGTGGGGTCTGGGGAGAGGAGGAAAATTAACTCTAATTAACAATAATTCTGAACCCCAAATCCAAAAGGACTGCTAGAGGAGGCGCTATATTCAGACTGAACTATGCTAACTAGCAGTAAATTGCTACATCACAGTAACTCATTTCTGCCCCTTAGCTCCTGGATTTCCATAAATCTTCACATAGTTGTTATCAACAGTAACTGCTTTCACTTTTTATTTATATTCTTAAAATTAAGATTTTTTCCGCTTCATAGCAGCCCTCTATGTAGCTCTTCTGTATCCAAGAGATGAAAACAGCAAAAAGAACTTCTTGCTATTTGGATATCGCAATACAAGCTGGTGGAGGTTTCCATGTCCGGAGAAAAGAAAGAAAGAGAAAGAGAAAAAAGAAAATGAAAAAATAAGAAATTTATAAAGTAAAAGAAAGGAGGGCCCACAACGAATTAAGTGTAATTAATTGAATAACTCCTATTAGAAAATGCCATTTGTACAATTTAACTGGTTTTTAACTTTCTTTTCTTTTGCTTCTCACACTCGTATAGGAGGGTGGAAACACTTTCTTTTACACATCACCTCTCTTAGGGGGTATTAGTTATACTCTGAACAAGAATTGAGGGGTAAAAGGGAAGCTCACAAAGTTAGAGTGTGCATGTAACTTTTCGGGACAAAGTTCAGGGTGCAATTTATGTATTTTCCCCTTCTTTAAAATTGATCCTTAGTCACTAGACAGCCTGGAAGAGTTGGAACCACATAGTTACATATTTTAGATCTATTGCCTCTACATAAAAAAACAAGAGTGTCCACAACAAACAGAAGGTGTGATACTCTGACAATGAGGGTTCTGCTCTTTGTAATCAATAAAACCATTACTATTATCAAAAATAGAAATACTGGTAATGGTCTACCAAATATCAGCCTTTTGTGTGTGCCAACTATGTGACTACAGCAAAAGCCAGATTATTAAATCCAAATGGCAACATGATTGTAAATTTGTAACGGAAAACGAGGCATAAATGGAGTATATTCAAACTGCAATATTAAATAGTCGGATCCAGATGAATACATGAACATAAATGGAGATAAAATGAACCTAATAAAAATCAATAGTGAAGCAAATATAGGTTCTATTGTATAGATAAAAGCAAATATAGTTATCTTAGGCAGTAACATAACTATACTAGGCCAACAAAAAGGCAGGAGAAAATCTGTTTTCTTTTTCTTTTTCTATTTCCTTTGCAATTTTGATGGGGCCAAGAATTATTAAAAATCTACTATACTCACTTTAAGATGCTCCGGAATTTTGTAAAGTTCATCCTCAGCACGTTTCACTTCATTTTCAACTTGATCAGCTACATCAACGTTCTTGCCTCTTTTTTTGGCCAACTCTTGCTCAATGTATCTCACCCTGCCAAATTTTAATGCAGAAAAGGAAGAAAGCAGTAAACATATATTGCTAAAACATGTAGATGATCAAATTTTCAGGACCGATAAAAGGATTAGATTCCTCTAAAAACCTAGTTTAGAATGAATAATCTCTAGTAGATGTACAACATTCAAATACTCTTCTTGAACCTATTTTATTTTTGATAGATCTCCGCATACACATGTGACGCACATTACGTAAAAGAAACAGAAAATATAAAGATTGATATAATCAAGGGCAGTGGATCTAGAACGCTGGTCACTTAGTAATGTATTGGTGCAACTTTCTCTTTGGCAAGCCATCTCCAAGCAGCTGAGCATTCACCACTTTCTGTTGATATAACAACTTCCAAATGATTGCTGAACACAGTAGCAAGAATGGGAAACCTCCTCCATTCCATAGGCCACACTTGGAACATATCTTCTTGTTCTGATATTAGATTGGTGGCAAACCCAAAAACTGGAATAGTCAGAAACTTGTATTTGGCGTGACATATATGTGTGACAACTAACTAATTTACAGTAAGCTTCTACTAATCCAGTACATGAGATCCTAATGCACTAATATTTTTTGTCTTCCTTGCTTCGATTCTGACTGGTTTTAGAAGTCGAGTAATAGATTTCTTAATTGTTTATTGAAAATCCTCCTAACAACAGGGAAACTAGAAGCTTATTAGGCTTATCTGTAGCTTCAATACAAGCGAGAGGAGTGATGGTTTAACATCTAATTCTCTGCTCAAACCGGTTCTATACACCCCGACACCATATAGTTATTTGAACGTTATTCTAGGTAGTATTCCTACAGCTTCCTTTTCCCAAATGTGTCTGCTATTCTAAAATATCATTCCGCCATTTTCTTTAACATCTAATTCTCGGCTCAAACCGGGTCTATACACCCCGACACCATATAGTTATTTGAACGTAATTCTAGGTAGTATTCCTACAGCTTCCTTTTTTCAAATGTGTCTGCCATTCTAAAATATGATTCCGCCATTTTCTCACCCAAGTCTATTTCATAACCAAGTCCCACCATTAAAAACTCATAAACAAGTCTCCAGCTTCCCCAACCCCACAAAGAACTTAGAGTAAACAGGTTATGTTCACATTAAAGTCCGACATGGTCTGAAATTTGTACTGTAATTTGTTGAATATGTTCCTTCTTTTCACAAAATTTTAAGTGTTTTATCCAGCATATGGAAACCAAATTCCAGAACTTCAACCCCACTAATGACTAAACCCAAGTGCTTCCTCATATTTCAGCTAGAAAATGAGTTATGGTGCATATGGACAGATATCTCCTTTGGGTTTATTGTTTTGTTGGTTAATCATACCCCAGTGTATAACCCTGATCACCTTTTGGATTTTATCAGCTCCATAATATAGTGATAGGTTTTTGTCTTCCCCTGGAGCTGATATCTCCTTTTTTTGTAATTCATGTATCTTCTGGATGCTTTTGTTATTAATACACCACTTCATAAAAAAACTAAGCACCATAACGGCCCAAAAACACCTAATTTGTCAGCTACCAATAGGATGACTGTAAGCTTTGTCTTGCCTTACAGGACACATTATGATTATATATTCTTCAGACAAGTAAACCAAGGCATCAACTAGTAGTTTGTGTGACTAAGAAAGGCAATTGATAACGTTATTTTCTACATTTTTGGAGAACCTGGAGCTTTTTAAGTAAAACCATGTTTCTGTACAAGACTCTCTACCAATTGTTTTTTTATAAGCAGACTCTGTACCTTTTGTATACATGTTACATGCAGATAATTCCCTTTTTCAAACAATAAAATAATTACTATGTCAAAAAAATGATGAATATCACCACTGAAATAAGAGAGAATGTCCAATTTCGGCTCCTCGCAAAACTTTCTTTAACTTCAAGAGAATGGCAGCTAATAAGGTTGTTTTAAGCTCTATGCTGAGCAGTGTTATCACAGCATGTAGCCAAGAAAAAATATCACTGATGTTTTCAGGGCATAAAGTGCAAAGCGCGAATAACGCGTAGGCATGAATGAAAAAAGGCGCAGGTGAATTCTGAACACAACAGCAATTATATGATAAAGGAACTGCAAAATTAAGTGACATAATAATTGTTATTGTTCCCATCTTCAAGACAAAGCCTATGGGTTGAGACAAACTCCTTATTGCCTTGGTGCATGAACTGAACCGCAACCTAAGTAAGGCGAAGCTCTTAACCTGTTTTGCACCTAACTTCATGGCTTAATCGAGGCTTTGACAACACTGATGATGCGCCAACTTTCGAAAGAAAAATGTTGTATCAGCATTCCATGCATTTAATCTCCTTTTGCTGTTGTATCAAAAGAAAAGTTGCTATGAATGAGAGGACTTAGTTCTGAATTACATATAATTGCTGCTTAAGTTGTTGGACTTGGTAGGCACATGACCAATATGTATCTTATTAGAACTTTTGAGATCTGCTTTGCGCTATTGCTGCTTTTTGCAACAATTGCTGAGTGGATTTACCAGTGACCACACCTTCCAAGCATTAATGAGTGTAATGGAGAAGCTAGGATATCTCTCCCAAAATGTGATATTCTAAGAGGGTTTCGTCCACTAGAAAAAACAAAGGGAGTAAACAAAGGGGTTACGCAAAGGGCAGTGATCTGAAACACAGGTAAACTAGGGAGTCAATCTTCTTCCACTGTTCCGAGCAAAGATACGGCCTTTGCAGGGCGTTTATCAACGTCACTGCATAGATCACCAAAGCATGTATTTACTAATGATAAAAACTCAAAAGTGGTACCTACTTTACCTTCAATTACACCTCTAATAATGCTGCACTCACCTGGTAGTAACCATGGCAAGGAATTTGAATAGCAAAAATATTAAGATATTTCCTGATATCTCTAGTCTAATAGTATCATTTTAGGCTCCATATGCAAAGGAGATGACAGATTCCAATTGCTAAGCAAGAATAGTTCACCGCACTACCATATACTGCTTACAGAGATAGTTACTGCCTAAGTCGTATTAAGATGAAGGCAACAGTTGTTTGGAAGAAATTAAAAAACTACAAAGAGGAAAGAATCAATCTAATGCAACGCCATAGGCAGAGGTGGATCCAAGATTTTACTTAATGGGTTTAACCTTTAAAATTCTTAGCCTAAACTAGCTATACTTTTAAAATTCGGGATATTTACACAAATAGCTGGGCAGATTCACTGTCTACTTTTCTTAGCTGGTATACATAGATCATATATTAATGGGAAAATTTCACATAACAACAACTGAGCTCTCTGCTTTTCAATTTTATAACCCATATTTCAATTTACAACCGACTAGCCCAAAAATAATAGGCTAGGATTCAACATCCAACTCCAGTAGGTTCTAGAAATTACTATTTAATTTTAAAAAAAGATTGCTCAAGCTTTTAAGTTAATTTTCGAATCAGTAACTGTGACTCAAATATTAGTTCAACAAATCAAATCTATTGGAATGGTGAAAATTAAATTTTTAACAAGCTTAAACATGTGGGTTTAAATTTCGAATTTGATTTTGTGAGAAATTTGGAGTGGGTGTTATTTAGACTTGTTAGAAATAGTATAAGGAGGTTGTCTACAAAATTTGAAGTCATTTAATGGAGATTTGGACTGGTTTTGACCAAGAATTGCAATTGAAAATCGTGGAAGAAGTTCGTCTACAGACACTTGTATAAAGGTGTATAAAAGTGTAAAATAGTGTATAAGATGTGTTTATACACTCATATACACTATTATACAAGATTATACATAATTATACAAAAAACTGATTTCGTCTTCTTCCTTGCGTCTTTTCTAAAATTTTACTCAAATCTACTTCAAATCACTTCAAAATTTAAATTTTGAACTCCTTTTGATATTTTCAATTAATTGGAACAACACCCAATCCAAACAACTAACAAACTCAAAAAAACTCTTATTTTCGAAAGCAAAGCTTTGAATGGCCTTCAATGGTGGACTTCTACTCTTTAATTTTCTTACATTGCTACCAGGTGACACAGGGTAAGAAGCAGCAATGGCGGACGGCCCTTTGAAGCATATGTAGAAGATGTGAGAAGAAGAGAGAGTGAAAGCAATGGTTGTTAGAACACATATTTAACTCCATAGCTTTTAGAAGCAATGATTGTAAGAACACAAGTTTTGAATTTGCTAGTGCTTTCAAAATATGTACAATATGGGCTAGGTTGGGTAAAACTTAACAACATGGGCCATTTTTTGTTATGGTGTGTCATGTGTATTTTCTTGTAATTCTTCCTATATTAATTATACACATACTGATTATACAAGATTACACACACACACACACATATACACATACTGATTATACAAGATTACACACACACTAACATCCACCAGCTGTTTTTAGTTGGGTGGGTGGGCGGCTATTTAGCTTAATTCTTCTTAAAATTCTTAGCAGCAACATCAACCACTGACCACAGGCATTCAACAACATTAGGGTAATTGATTACACGTGAAGGTTGAAAGATTCAGCAGCCATTTCGATGATAGACATTAGAGAGGGATGAGAATTACATGTTGGGGTCTTCTTCCAACACGGCAGTTTCCTGAGCAAAAGTATCTTGCAGTACCAACTCATCTTTCTCCACATCTCCTTCACCCTTATCATTCACCTTCCTAACCAAACCACCTGCACTGTTATTACTAGCGCCGCCGCCTGCTGCAACTTGTGCTGTTGAGGAGGATACAGCTGGGATTCCTAACTTCCTCTCTCTTTGTTTTTGAAGAAACTTCACTTCCTCTAAAGCCAACCTGCTTGGGCGCAACACCTTAAAATTGAAAAACCCTAAACTATATTGAAGTGAAAACCTAATGAAGAGTGAACAGAACTCACCTCCTTTCTTGCTCGTCGTCGGACGCGTCGTTATCCTTAGTTGCTGAATCTTCTTCCCCGTCGTCCGCTATACTTCTCTTTCGGAAATTCCTCCGCGTCATGTCGCTTTTCTTTCGATTCGCATCTTCAACTGAAAAAATAGTTAAGCTGAGGAACACAAACTGCCCGTGTGAGTACAGAGACTGGTGTACTATTTTTCAATTTTATTTTTGATAATAAACCCTATAGATCTCACTTTTATTTGGGGTGAATTAGTTAAGTGGCCCTCTACAAAACAGATATACAAGGTTAAAATAGCACGTGCTAGCTAATTTTCGGACTGGTCATTCAAAAATAGTCGGTGTTTGCCAAGTCATTAAAAAATAGCCACTATTTTACTGCAACAGAGACCGGTCCAGCATAATATACTGGAGTTCGGTGCACCCGTGTATGAACTTCCAGCATATTATGCTAGACTTTGATGGCTCCAGTATATTATATTGGAACTCCAGTATATTATGCTGGAGTATTTTTCGATTTTGAACAGTATTTTCGTTCAGATTTATCTTTACATGAAAAGTGGCTAAATTTCGATGACTTTTGAAATTGTGACTATTTCTAGCTATTTTTGAATTTCTCCCATACAGAAATCCATGACAAGTAAAACCAAAAAATTTAGGTAAAAATAGCACGGGCTAGCCAGTTTTCGGACTGATCATTCAATAATAGCTAGCATTTGCAAAGTCATTGAAAAATAGCTACTCCCTCCGTTCCAGTTTATGTGAACCTATTTCCTTTTTGGTCCGTTCCAAAAAGAATGAACCCTTTCTAAATTTGGTAACAATTTAGCTTAAACTTACAACTCTACCCTTAATGAGAGGCTTTTATAACCACATAAATACTCTGGGCCCATTTGGACTTGTTTAGGACCACAAATTCGAAAAGTCTTCATTTTTTTCTTAAACTCCGTGCCCAGTCAAACAGGTTCACATAAATTGGAAGGGAGGGAGTACTATTTTGCTACAACACGGAAAGTTCCGGCATAATATACTGGAGATCGGTGCACCTGTGTATGAACTTCCAGCATATTATGCCGGAACTCTAATACGCGGAAAGTTCCAGTATAATATACTGGAGATTGGAGCACCGGTGCTCCAATCTCCACTATATTATGCTGGACTGGTATATTATATTAGAACTCCAATATATTATACTATATTTTCAGTATAATATAATTTAACTCCAGTATAATATACTGGAGTATTTTTCCGGATTTTGAAGAGTGTTTTCGTTCAGATTTATCTTTACATGAAAAGTGGCTAAATTCCGATTACTTTTGAAACTGTGGCTATTTTTGAATGACCACTTGTAAATCTGGTTATTTTTGAATTTCTGTTGATGATAATATGGGTTCCACTAGAGTTTTTGACCAATATTGTCCCTTATCTTTGAGGGTAGGTCTATTTTGGTCCCTCAGAAAAATAAAGTGGAACGTCTGTGAAGAGTGGTGGTAAATCTAAGAAGGTTGTGGTTGAGAAAGATTTGTCTGGAGGTGATATTGTGGCTGTTGCAAGTAGGAAAGGGAAGTCTGTTGAAATGTCTAGAAAAAGAAAGCGGGAAATTGTGGGAGAACCTGGTTCAATGAATACCATACCAAGTGACAGTGGACTTGGGCAGGAGAGATTGAGAACTCAGAAAGTCTTGTGGGGTCGCATGTTTGACCCAGAAATCTCGAAGATGGCAGGTATGAGGCAAGTTCTGGAGATGGTGGAATTCCAGCAATGAGGTCATTTGTTTAAAGAGGATGTGCCTAAGGTATATGAAGATGAGCTACAAAACTTCTATGCAACTCTCTTCACTGTTCAAGGGGACCATATAAGCGTGCTGGTAAATGGAGTTGACTTTGTGCTTGACGGTTCAGCATTGGGGAAAGTTCTCAAAGTTCCATGTGAAGGGATGTCTTCATCAAGGGTGCTTGTGGAGCTAACTTTAGGAGAGACATTGTGAAAGAGCATGCTATCCAGCAAGGTGAACGGGTACATAAAAAGGCACTACTTCCGGTGTATCAGCTTCTCTTTGAACTGGTCAATAAGGTTCTTTTACCTCGTACTGAGAGGAGGTTTATAGGTTCCAAGTCTGATCTGATCTTAATGGAGGCTCTTGATGAGTTCACACCGATAAATCTGCCAGCAATTATGATAGAACACATGCAAAAGGTGGCGAACTTTCAAGATGGCAATCACGGGCTTCCATACGGATTTCTCCTCACTCAGGTGTTCCAGTTTTACAAGGTATCTTTGGCCAATCCAAAAGTAGGCACCCGCAAGCAAACCTTCTCCAAAATAACTCTAGAAGAGTGTGAGTGTGTAGAAAAGGTTGGGGGAAGCACTTCGACAATTTCTCAGCTGATAAATGCTCAGAATGCTGCTACTAAAGAAATCAGAAGGCTGAAGGCTCAGAATGCCCTACTGGAAACTCAGCTCAGTCAAGCTGTTAGAGCATCTGGTTCTGTTAATTCTTCCCATGAAGAAGTTACCCGCTTGACTAAGGAGAATGCTGAGCTTAGGAAACAGGTGGAGAACCTGCGGGAGAAACTGCTTGAGGAATAGATGTCTGCAAATGCCCGCATGGACCTGGTTCTCAAAACCATTGCACCCTCCTCCAAGCCTCCCTCTTCTAGTGCCCCCTAGGATCCTCTCAGTGACCAGTTGTCTTATATTCTGATGTTTTGTGGCTGTTGTTTTCTTTTTGTTTGTTTTTTATGATGGCATGTTGGATTCCACCGTTATTGCTCCCGTTGAAATAGTCCAATTTAGTTTTTGCAAAATTATTATCAATGAAACAACTCTTCTTTTGCTAGTACAATGCTTGTTCTCCTTTTGCTTCTCTTTTCTATCATATTGTGTGCACATATGGGGCATAAGTTAGCTGTGTTAGACTTCTTTATTCTTTTTGCCTGATTGTGCATTTTTAATGATGCCAAAAGGGGGAAGAGTTGGTTAACTTGAAAAACTGAAGTTGGTGATTAAGGGGGAAGCATAGAGTCAGGGGAACATATGAGGTTACTGGTACTTTATCTGGTTACAAACTTTCTGTATAGAACCAGATAAAGGACCTGATGCATGCCTGGTACAATCATTCAGCAATGGACTCAAGATAATCTGGGCAGTGTGCCTTTGGATTCACAAGAACCAGTTTAGGGACCTGATCCCTTGGTGTTTCCCTGGCAGAAGTACAAGTCAACTCTATAGCTGGAAAGCAACTGCAGAAAGTGACTGCCTGCAACTGTGCACGCTACAGTGCAGCAATCACTTCCCATTGGGAATAGGCATGTACCAACCAAGAATAGACATCATCCTTGGGATGTCTTTTGAAGTATAATAACATGGTGTAAGGCAACAAGATATTCACTTGAGCATTTAGTGATATTCTCTCAAGCATTGAAGATCTGATCCAGCATTAAAGTCACAAGTGTGTCAAGAACAAGAAGACAACTCCACTACGAACCAGTTTCACTATGAGTCTATGTGTGTCCTTAGTTGAGTTGTAATCTTGTTTTTTGTTCTTCATTGTAACTCCTATCTTGTTTTCTTAGAAGCTTTGTTTTAGGAAACTCAAAATCATAAACCATTTGAGTTTGTGTTGTGACTAGAGTTAGTCATAGGTTGAAGTCTTTGTAACTAGTGAGTGACAAAGTGGCTTGCGATAAGTGTATTACAAGTTAGAGTGATTGAAGTCTTTGTAATAGAGTCATTACAAAGTGGCTTGTAATAGTGTAGTTACAAGTTAGTGAAGTTGAAACCCTACTAGTGTAGGTTGTGGTTTTTTGTCCCCTTGAGTTGAGATTTTTCCACGTAAAAATCTTGTGTCTTATTTACATACTGTTTCAGTAGTTAGCACTGAGGGAACTGATATAGGACCAGATCTCTATACAGTTGGTGGACTCATATAAACTATCAATGGTCTCAGAGCAGATTCTTTCTAAAAGGTTAACACCTAGAAAGGATCTCAATGGCTACTCCACCTAACTTTGAGGAAGGACAATCAACCTACAGACCTCCTAGATTCAATGGTCAGTATTACGGCTAGTGGAAGACTCGTATGCATGATTTTATAATGGCAGAAGACTCCGAGCTGTGGGATGTCATTTGTGATGGTCCACATGTTCCTATGAAGAAGGTTGGAGAATCTAGATTGATGGTGCCGAAAACCAGAAAAGAATACAGTGATATTGATAGAAATGCTGTTGAGAAGAACTTTCGTGCCAAGAAGATCTTGGTATGTGGTATAGGACCTGACGAGTACAATAGAATCTCATCTTGTCAATCTGCCAAGGAAATATGGGAAGCATTGCAAACGGCACATGAAGGAACTACTCAGGTTAAACAGTCCAAGATTGACATGCTCACCACTGAGTATGAGCTTTTCAGGATGAAAGATGATGAGTCTATACAAGATATGCACACTAGATTTACATCTATCATAAATGAGCTTCATTCACTTGGAGAAATTATTCATAGAAACAAGCTTATGAGGAAGATTCTCAGCGTTCTACCTAGCTCTTGGGAGAGTAAGGTGAATGCCATCACTAAAGCCAAAGATTTACAAACTCTAACCATGGATGAGCTGATTGGAAATCTGAAGACATACAAGATGAAAAGAAAGAAAGACAGTGAAAGAAGAGAGCCAAAGAAGGAGAAGAACCTGGTGCTCAAGGCTGAAAACAATGACTCAAGTGAAGAAGATAGTGATATGGCCTATCTCACTAAAAGATTTCAAAAGATGGTTCGAAGAAATTGTGGTATACCAAAGAGGGACAGTTCAAGTAAACCAAGGAACTATGATCTCTGTCACAAGTGCGGAAAGCCAGGGCATTTCATCAAAGACTGCCTGCCCACTTCTGAAACAGGAGCATTACAAACAACTCTGACAAAGCAGCAAAAAGGAACCCGGTTCCTGACAAACGATTCAGCCGAAAAAGTGCAGCTGACAATGTTGTGAAGCAAGCTCTTGTTGCATGGGGAGATTCCTCCAGTGAATCAGAAGGGGAACCAGATGCAGGAAACAGTTCCATGATGGCAGTGGAAAATAAAGCAAAGGAATATGATTCATTGTTTGCATTGATGGCTCAGTCCGATGATGATGAAGAGGATGACAATGATAAGGTAAATTTTAGGGATGTTCAGAGAAATCTGAAGTCCTACTATTCTAAGAAATTGATGTTATTAGCAAATGTTCTAATTGATGCAT